AGGCCCAACTCATCAAGCAGACCGCATGTATGTACCGCATTAGGCAGAAGACAAGCGCCAGATGAGCGCAATCGTACCACAGCTCTGATACCAAATTGCAAGGAAGATGAGCAATAGCGAACTTCAGCAATCAAACAACATCATATACACAAGACCAGAGTCGGGACCTGGAACCAACAGCAGAATTGCATCACGAGTTTCAGCAAATAAGAAGACACCAAGAGCTGATAATTGACAACGCTGGTAAAGTCTCATCATCATCATCAATGAAGAACCAATGTTGATATCCTATCTGGCGCTCGGCGCCCAGACTACAGATGGCAGATCCTATCTAGCCTAGACTACAATGCCGAAGATGACGTCAACAGCTTTCCCGAAGTACGAGCATACAGCGACCAATGTCGCACGCTTCCAGCACCAGGTATGTCTCTCGCCTCACTCACAACCTCGTTCCCCAACACACAGATGCCACTTGCACCCAAGGACCACCCTGCGCCACACCCAGCTTACAGCAGCGCAGCTCGGCTATGGCTGCCTGCTCCTTCCTGCTCGCCCGTGAGCGCGTGAATGCCAGCGAGCTTCAGCGCAGCAGCGCTTGCGCAGTATGCAGGCAGCACCTGAATGACCTATGTGGAGGCAGGCCCTTTCCTATATCGAAGTGGCCTGCCTCCAGTAGGCCCCGGTAGCCTGAGGCCCAGCACGATTGAGAACAGGCCTTGGGCCTGAGGTGGTTGCATGTACCCAACTGCCTTTGGCCTGTGTTTGGCCCAGTACCCGTATCCAGCCCAGGGCCTGCTTTCCATACATTCACACAGGCGGCCCAGGGCCTGGGTTCTCTCAACCAACTGGCGCTGCGCAACTGCCTGAATTTCCTTAGTTGCGCAGTGGCCAAAATAGGGCCCTGAGGGCCTCGTCGAGCCTGCCTTCACTTAGGGCGGCCGACTTGGTCAAAAAGGGGCCGAATGGGGCTCATAGAGGCAGTGGCCTCGTACAAAGCAAGAGACCATATTAACGCAGCGGAAGACTGAACATACATCTGACACAGCAATATCAGAATGGACAATGCGCATTCATACATGCATCACACCATGAGAAGGGGGCAGCGCAGCAGACAAGGAAGGGGCGCTGTCCCCTGATCATCCTCGGGCGAAGTAGGAGGGAGATGGAGACGAAGGGGGAAGAGAGGGCGAGAGACCAAGCCGTCAGTTTTGCCAATCCCGAATGTTTCCAAAGTCCCAGTCTCAATACAATGTCCATTGCCAAATACCAGATCAGGGCAATGGCCCGAGTGCCCCCAAGGTTCAGATCTCAGATAACTCTCCCTCCCTCCCTCTCTCTCCGACGTAGGTACACGTGGGGCAAGGGTGGGCAGAAGTGGGGCATGGGCGTACGTGGTTGGGCATGGGTGGGCCTGGGGGGGCTACGGGTGGATGTTATGCTGGCCCTGGCTGGGCTGGATGCAGTTGAGCATTTTTTCTCGTTCCCAGCTGGGCTCTCTCTCTCTCTCTCTCTCTCTCTCTCTCTCTCTCTCTCTCTCTCTCTCTCTCCAAACGGAAGTAGAAGACCGAGCGATGGAGGATGGAGGAGGTCCGGAGGAGAGACGAAGAAGAACAAGGAGTGTCCTCTCTCTCTCTCTCTGTGCTGGTACCAGATACTGACCGCATAAAGGTGTTGCCTTGATGCCGGTGCTGGAGTGCTGAAGACAAAACTGGAGCTATCGCGCCCCCAGGCGAGTCATCAGGTAAGTCGCAGTGTCTGGCCTCCGCCTTTCTCCCGCTGCAGTCTCTGCTGCAGGCTCCACACTGGTTACCTCTAACCTAACGCCACTGCACCCAGCGCTGAAGACTAACGCAGCATAACGCTGGACTACTCACCTAACCTAGCGAGTGAGAGGCAGACCAGTCTTTAAATACTACTGGTCTGGCCCCTCCTAGGTTCTACTGGCGTAAACGTGAGGCCCAGGATGAATGGCCTGGGAAGCAATCTGGCTGTACACTTGGATCGATTCTGACGGTCCAAGTGTGGCCTGGGAAAAACGAGGCCAGGGCCTGAACTGTTACCGGTACCAGGGCCTGGCCAGGCTGAACCTGGTGAGGGCCTCGAACGGCCCTTTTTCTGGCCTGAACCGACGCAGGCCTCTTTGGGCGCCATACCTATGTGCTAGACCGAAGCTAAGTCCCTACCCCTTCCTACCTACCTGACGCATTGCATATAACGGATGGCGGCCTTTGCAGGCTAGAGAGCGCTAGCAGTCAAAGTGGGATGGGAGGTTTGCGAAAACAGCTTGTTGTATTTAGTGGCAGTTTGAGGATGTTTGTCGTCATTGCATCGCATCTCCGGCGTGGGGTTTCTGGAGTGCTGTTCACCACAGTATGACTCGTTACGAGCTTGTTGGATTTAGTGGCAGTTTGAGGATGTTTGTCGTCATTGCGTCGCATCTCCGGCTTGGGGTTTCTGGAGTGCTGTTCACCACAGTATGCCTCGTTACGTTTATATGTTCTTTATGTACGACTATGCAGTCGCTTTCTACTCTACTGTTTGTCTATCTGTTCCTTAGCTGTGTGGCTGTTTCTATGTCGCAAAGATTGTATGATGCCTGCTGAGTCCGTCCTTGGTGATTTTGAATCAAGAAGGGGGATGCCTGCTGACATTAGTTTTCTCCTCTGATTTCGTTTTCTTGCCCGTGCTTTCTTCACCGTGGAACAGGTTTGCCCACCATTCCCAATGTCTAGCGAAGAAGCTTGAGACACCTACTGTCGATGAACTGGGCTTCACAAAGAGATATGTACGTTGCTTGCAGGTGCGATAACTTGGCATTTGGTGATGTTGCATGTCTGAACACTTTAGTGCTGTGCATGTATAGCCATCAATGACTTAATGCATATGTGCATTTTCTCGCAAAGGACGCATGTCGAGGAAGCATTGCACTTTGCAATTGGCTCATCTTACTGACCTTGACATTGTGGGTCAATATACAAGGAGAGGAAAGCCTATGGGCATCTATTGAGAGACAAAAGAGGAAAAAGGATGACAACCATGAGAGAAGCATTAGTTTTGGAGGAAGGAATGGAGGAGGCAGATGGATGGGTTCCATGTCTTGCATGCTCACAAACACATTGGACTCGCAGCTCGGAGCAAGCACGTCGCCTTTGCATTGAAAAAGTTGCCTTCCAGTTGCGAAGGATGCTTTCAAATGGGAGAATGGATTGGCGACGAGCTGGCAGGCCAGCTGGGCACAATTGATAATGCAAGCAGAACTGGCAGTGTGGCCATTTCAGACCCAGGAAGTTTGTCAAGGCCAAACATAATGGTCTGGATAATCCCAGCAACACAGGGATACATCTTATTTTCCCAACTAAAGGTTACATAAGTAAAATTGCGTTTGGAATTTTCATCGGGCTCTCGATGTTCCTGGAAAAAACAACTTGCAGGCATCGGTGCAGCGCACCTCCTCTTCACTTTGCACGCTTCAGCACCACAGACAGTGCACTGACATGCAGTTGGCAAGATACCTGAGTGCAAAGAGTGCAAAGACCAGCTATTCGTTGTTTCATGCTTCAAAGCTCCAAGGCGTTGGAAGGGGTGCGCAGAAGGATTGTGCACATCGGATAAGTTTTCGGCATTTATGCAGCGGGGATGGACGAGTTGTGCAGGCGAGTAGAGGAAGTGTCCTGAGAAGGGCTAGACGAGCCCTCATGTTAATAGTATGTGAACCGATTGTATTAGTTCTACAAATTGTCAATTGGCTAAAAGTGTGCATTTTTGTCCTTGGGGACATCTGTTAGAATTGCAACGTCGCAGAGAAGCTATGACCCCCCCCCTCCGCTACGACTGGATCTTTCCAACCTCGCTCTACATGTCCATGTTTTTCATTATATTTTTTGGTAACGATTTGTAACAATACGAAAAATCAAAACCTGAAGAAAAACATGGAAAATAAGGTAAATACTAAATAGTAAATACTAAATACAATATTTGGACCTAAAAAAGATGATCAGGGAGGTGCAGGAATACGTGTCCCACACCGCTATAATTTCATTTTTCCCCTTGTTTTGTGTTTTCCCCGTTTTCCTTCTCCTTTCTTCTCTTCTCTTCTCTGCTCTATACTCTTAAAGATTGCAAAGGGCCCAGCGTGACGCCTCCCGCTGGGCCCAGTGAAATTCGGTGCGGAGGCGGGCGGGACTGAGGCAAGGGAAATCGGGCGCGCCGTTTCGTGGTAGGACTGCGGGCGGGAGTGAGCGAAATTCGGTGTGGAGGCGGGCGGGACCAGGGCAAGCGAAATCGGGTGCAGCGTTTCGCGGTGGGACTGCAGGCGCGAGTGAGGGAAAATTGGGAGTGGGGTTTGGTGGCGGGGCCTGTGTGCACATCACGAGTGCGAGAGCGCGGTGCACGAGCGGGCTGCGGAGTTTTTAGTTTTTGGCCGTCGTGCAGGGCACGGGGGGCTGCATTTTGCGGTGGGACTTCAGATGCGAGTGAGGGAAAATCGGGCGCGGCGTTTGGTGGCGGGGCCTGTGTGCGCATCGACAAATGTGGAAGTGCGGAGCGCGCGCGGGCCTGCGGGTTTTTTGTTTTTGGCCGTCGCGCAGGGCACGGGGGGCCAGATCACGTTATCGGACCGTTGGCCTGATGGGATTAGCGGTGGTCCTGTGCGCTGTGCAGTGCGTGGGTGTGGCGCAGCAGAGAGTCGGCAGCGGGGTGTGGGCTGTGAAACTGCCGTTGCCGGGCGCGGGGAGTGGCGTGATCGGGGTAGTGTGGGCACAGGTGCCAACGACGCATGCGGGGTGGGGGAACGACGTGACAGTGGCGCGCTCGGCGTCGTGTGCGGTCGAGCGGCGCGGGAGTGGCGTGTTTGGGATGGTGCGACCTCGGGGCGCAACGATGCGTGTGCGGCGGGGCGTGTGTTTCGGACCATTGATCGCATACACAGAACAGGTGCAATATTAGGCCAAGACAGGAAGGAAAGGGTGATGCTCAAGGCTCTCGCAGGACCTTGGCTCGAAATCCCTTCCTGAACATAGACAGGCGTTTTTCGTCTAGGCAGGGCAGTTTAGGATCCGTTTTGATGTAGTCAAATGGCGAGTTATGGGTACGGTGATGAGCATGTAGACAAGTAGTAGCAACCGCCAGACAAAAGAGACAGCAGTTCAGTGATGAAATATGAAGTTTGTGGAGGTGGAGTTATGCATGGCTTTCCCATGATCATGCAGGCCATGACTGCACAGAGCACGAATCGCTACTTCACCCAGCTGGGCTTCTGAGCCCAGACTTGCTCTGGCCTATTGCTATAAGAGAGTCATGCATTCTATGCTTCAACAGGAGGTGAATCACCAAAGGGAGCAAAGGAGCCAAGCTGAAGACCAAGCAGTCAGACCAGGAGAGGCACGAGAGAGTGCGTCAAATAGGGAACAGAGAATTATAAAGAAAGGATGAGAGTTAGCAAGTCGATGTGTTGTTGCAGTGACCGTTGCGAGGGCACACATGAAACATTGCTACAGGACTGTCATCCGTTCTGTGGCTTCAACAGGAGGGGAATCACCAAAGGGACAATGGAGCCAATCTGAATATGGAAGTTAAGTATTTAATGATCAAGCAGCCTTCAACATGGGCTAGAGTCGCTAGACTCAAGCAGGAACCAGGAGAGGCAGAGAGAATGAGCTGAATTGGGAATAGAGAAGTGGAAAGAAAGGACGGGAGTTGAAAAGCCGAGGATGTTGCATTGACCATGGCGGGGCATGCATCAATGGTTGGGAATGTCCGTTCAGGTGAACGGAACCAGAGAATTCTGTCTGGGTGATGAGCTGCAGGCTCCCTCAGAACAGATGAGGTAGAAGGGGAAAGGACAGGACTGCCATGAGGATATAGCATAAAGTGAGTGCAAGGTGAGTTCCACGGATAGGATGTCAATGTCGGTGAGAACTGGCATTGAAGGTCCAGCCCCTGACTAGGGTTGATTGATAATGCATGCATGAAAGCATGCAGCTGTTAATTCAGCGGTATAAGATAATGAAGCAGGAGCGGTGCTTCACATGCTCTTTAGGACCAAGGAGAAAAAAAACAAAAAAAACAAAGTCATAGAGAAAATTATAAATTGCATACGGGGAACGGTTGTCGTTTGCCGGTAAAAATCGCCATGGAAGAAGAGGAACTTGCAAGAGAAAACGTAGTGTTGTTGTGAGACTGCCATGGTTCGTAAGGAAAGCGAGGCATTAGAGCATCATTCCTTGTAGCATGGGACAGCGAAGTAGTGCGTTGTGACATGGCATATTACGACGGCATGACAATGCATATAGTGAAATAATAAGGTCATAGATTACTGGTCTGACATGGCAATGAGTTTACCACTTCCATCGGCGAACAACCAAACCCTTAAGACCTCGACCTTCCACTATTACTGATGGGGTAAGACTATGCCTTCACTATATTCACTGCAGTCACTTGTAAGAACTTTCTGGTGCTAGTGGAGAAGCGGTGCCGTGAGGGTCTCGCAGCTATGTACACCTGTCAATCATGCTCTTTAGGACACTTATTTGTAGGAGGAGGAAGAATGAAAAAGAATCTAAGGAAGCAGAGCAGTGGCGAGAGGAAGAGGTGGAGAGGAGAAGAAGAAAAGAGCAGGAGGTGAAGGAAGACAGGAGGTGGTGGGAAGGATAAGAAAAGGGCATGGCATATGATAAGTAGTGAGATGAGAATGGCAAGTGGAGGAGTGGTAGGGCAACGGGGAATTGTAAGGCGGAGGAGAAAAACAACCAAAATCAAGAACTGGATAAGGAGGAAGGTGAAGAGGAAGCATGAGTTTAGCATACAACTATGTAGGTATCTTTTCTCTCTATTCACAAGGACCCAAAGAAATTACCAGAAGAAAGTCCCAATATGTAAAAGATGTACAATAACCATCCGCACACTCCTTTGTGTTCAGCATCACTTTTCTGCCCCCTTGCTGGAGCAGAGTGATGTGTCAACAATCTACGACCTTCTGATCTGCAGAGCTACAGATGCCGTTATACTCTGCTGCAGGTGTCACAGTCTCTGTTTGGGATTTTTCCCAAACTGTTTGGTACTGCTAGAATCACTACATGGCCAGGGTTTCTGCTGCTCACGTATGGGAGAGCGCATTCGGGAGAACATGTTCTCATGTTCCCCAAAACCCCGAACTCGTTCTTTGTGCTTGGAGTGTCATCTCCCTTCAATTGAACAGTGCAGGCTCCCCAACGATGACAAGGATGTGTAAAGAAGTCTGGAAGTTCACGAAGGGTAAGAAAGAAAAAGAGGCTGAAGGTGGGAGTTTGGGAGGTCAAGGTGAAATAGAAAGAGCCGTTTAGCCCAAAAGCAAATTTACCGCGTGCCCAGGCCAAACGAAGTAGGGCCTAGACATCTACATGAAGAGATGTAGATTGTCGGCCGAGCAGCCAAGTTGATCAGACCAGTCTCAGCCATCTTTTTCGGGACGGGAAATCATGAGACTGACCTCAAAGTCTGACAACCAAGTATGCGCTGTTCGAAAAGGAGTTGTGCCTTTGCAAAGGACACCTACTGTTTGCAACCGACATCACCAAATTTCCCAGCCCTATGACTCTTCAGAGTCTTCACCTCATTTCCATTTTAGCTTTACACAGGGCCACGAGGATTCAGCTTACAGAAACTAACATGGCCCCTGGTGAACCAATAAGGGGACCAAATGAAGTAGTGCTTCTGGGGTTCATTTCTCATTTTCCATTGCCACGTCCAGATTTGTGACAGAGGTGCACAGTTGCGAGGGGCACTTTCTGATGGGTAATGTTCGCTTTCCAGAACCACCCACAC